TCTTTCTTTCTTTCTTTCTTTCTTTCTCTCAGACAGAGTTTCACTCTTATTACCCCAGGCTGGAATGGAATGGTGTGATTGGCTCACTGCAACCTCTGTGTCCCAGGTTCAAGCTATCCTCCTACTTCAGCCTCCAGAGTAGCTGGGATTATAGGTGTCTACTACCACGCCTGGCTAATTTTTGTATTTTTAGTAGAGATGGAGTTTCACCATGTTGGCCAGGCTGATCTTGAATGGCTGACCTCAGGTGATCCGCCCGCCTCGGCCTCCCAAAGTGCTGGGATTACAGGCATGAGCACCGCGCCCGCCTGCTCAAACTCTTTCTAATACATCCCAGGTGCCACTCACAGTCTGAGCTAACTGGCTTCATCTCAGGAAGGACAGCGTCAGGCACAGGGCATTAGAGTCACATAGGGAACTGATAGCATCTTTTTCTGGACCAGAAATCCAGCCCAATGCCTCCCAGTCTCCCCCGCCTCTTCCTGGGTTGGCCTGTTGGGCCTCTATACTCCTTGCTTTTGGCCTTTATGTCTCTTTTCGAAACTTCCCAGGCTGGAAGCAGAAGTAATTCCTATATGTGCAAGTTTCTATTCCCATTCCCGGAATATCTACCACGTAAATACAGTGATGCCGAACTCGTCACGTCCAGCTTCCTTCCTGTGCAGGCACTGTTTTCCTATCCTCATCACTTCAGCATAGACAGAATCATTTGTTGGAAAGCAGGAGTGGAGCCCAAATTAGGTTGAGATGAGGAAAGGCATTATTGCCATGGGTCCTCCTTAAGAAAATCCCAGAAGATAAAGTGGCACGGGGCGTGCCCTGTGTCTGCTGGTCTTGGCTGGCTGGTGCACAGAGGTGAACCACTGTGGCTACAGTGAGGACAGCAGGGGCTCTAATCTCGGCTCTGCTGCTCATCCTCCAGTGGTGCTCCCTGACGCACATTAGTTGTTCATTAGAGTCCAGACCTGCCCCCTCCCTCGGACCCAGCAGGGCTCTCGTTTGGATCTCCTTCCCTCCCCTCTCTCCAGGCAACTTACCGGCAGCTGTTGAGACTCCGTCAAGGCAAGTCCTTCAGGCCTACAGGCAGGACATCTGGGCGAGGCACGGTCTTTTGTGTCCCCAGGGTTCTCCCCATCCTCAGCCTTGTCCCCTTGTAAGTGGGCACGCAGCCACCCTCTGATGGAGTGGCTCTCTGGGGAAGAATGGAGCTGCTGAACCTGTTGTGCAGAAACAGAGGTAGGTGGAGCCTCTTGTAGCCCCATCCTTGGTGGGGGCGCTGACTGGTCCTGAGTGTCTGGGAATCATCAGCTCCTGCTACAGCTGCTGCCTCCAGGGGTTTGATTCTGAGATCGTGTCTCAGTCATGCTCCCAGATCTTTGTCAGAAAAGACCCCTGAGATCAAGGACCCATGAGTGTCAGGTAAAGTGGGTGACCTCACCCACTGTGCCGGGCTCTGTTTGGAAGACAGCCCTCCATTCTGGTGCAATGGAATGGCTACAGCGGCCACTTCACCTCCTTAGGCCTCAGTTTCCCGTCCATAAAATGAGAACCTGATTGTTTGTTAAACTCTGGTTCCTTTTCGGCATTTTAAGAGCATCTTTGGGATCAATAGAAAGCCTATTCTGTGTCAAAAGAGACTTTTTTATTCCAGGACCTAGTGCTTTCCAGCCTGGGAAGTCTCAAAAAGAGCCATAGAGGCCAAGAGCACAGAGGACGGGGGCCCAGGAGGCCAGGGCAGGAAGAGGTGGGGAGACTGGGAGACATTGGGCTGGATTTCCCCAACCATCCACCTTCCCCCATCCTGCCGTCACACAGGATTCTTGAACTCCCCACAAAGTCCCTTCAGGAGCATCCCAGAGAGGGAGGCCTTCGTCCTCCCTGGCCAACTGAACCTCCTAACAGAATTGCTTGGGCAGTGCTCACTGAGCCCTGGATCATCCCCTCATCATAGCCAGTGGCCCCAAACTCACTATTGGCTCCAGCCATGCCAGTAGAGGGAGGCGATTCCTTGGAGGTTTGGCTTTGTACTCCAGGGGACCTGGGAGCCAGAAGGGACTCAGATGGAGGGGCAGGGAGAGGCCCAGAGACATCTTCTTCCCTCCTGACATCATGGCAAAGCTCCTTCCCAGACCCAGTATAGGAGTGGTAACGGGACAGACCGAGGGAGAGGAAGGAAGGGGAGCAAATGGAGGGGCAGGAAAGGGAGAGCCTCAGCGTACAGTGCACCATAGATGCCTTTGGCCCCAAACCAACTTCCTTAGTGAGCTTCTGGAGCCTGGCCAGGCTGGAGAACATTGCTCTGCTGGTGGGTAAGGAGTGGGCACCTAAAGAGACAGTGATTTCATTTCTCCTGAGAGGCCTCACTTTCACTTGGGAACCTTGCAGGTGGCCAGAGCAGGAATGGCTGAGGAGCCGGTTTCAGGTTCTCAATGAAGGAACAGTGATCTGGGGCTTTTCTCAAAAAGTCTGAGATGTTCTTACACAGAACAAAGACTCCAGGGTAACAAAGACAATTCGGAGCTGGGAGGTGGGGGTGGGAGGGTTTCCTCTGACTCAGGAACATGAAACTTAGATGAAGGAACACGGGCTGGCTAGCTGCATGACCCTGGGCAAGTTGTTTAGCCTCTCTGGATCTCACTATCTTGTCTGACCAATGGGGCTGAAGCTTCCTTTCAGGGTTACTGTAACAAGTCAGCAATGACAGATGCGGTAGCGCATCTGAAAGCAGCTGGCGCCTTGACCTGGCATATTGTAGGTGCTCAACAAATTGTTCTTTTTCTCCTGATACTGTAGCGTCTTGTCGCGTTTGTACTTACATATCAGCCTGCCATCCAAGTATCTATCTATCTATCTGCCTACCTACCTACCTACCTTCATCACCATTGTCTATCTATCTATCCTGTGTTTAATGTTTCCAATCGTATTGTTAGCACTTTCATCGCAAGGGGCTTGAATTATACTTCTATGTAGACATCCAGTGAACATGTTAAGAGACTGGTGGCCAGGGAAAGCCAGATCTCCCACTTTCAAACAGTGTTTCAGTCTAGTGCCAGCTTCTTCTCAGCTTTTCTTCAGATCAAGTGAAGAATGCCTGGAGTGGGGAATTTCCAGGAAAACTAGGTTCCTCTTCAGTATTCCCAGGCATTCTTGCTCCATGGCTCCAGAACCCCCAGCAACCTCTACACTGTCCAGGCCACCTCATTTCCAAGTGTGACCTCTGGCCTCAGGAGGCCTGAGTCAGTGTTATTTCAGGATGCTCAAATGTACCACCCACAGGATACTGATCTCAGTATCTACCTCTTATTCCACATGGTCGTACACTCTCTTAGAAGGTGTCCCAGAAAAACAAAGGTGAGAGTACATAGATATGTCTTGCCTTGTACCTCAATCACAATGCATACAGGATACTAAATCATAATAATACCATGCATTTGTACAGCGTCTTGCAGTTTTCAGAGCTTTTGTGCATAGGCTTTATCTCTAAGCCACATAATAATCCTGTGAAGCAGGCAGGGCTTTTTAAAAAAGTTGTCATTTTGCAGATAAGGAAGCTGTGCTGGTCAGCCAGCTACTAAGGGGTGGAGTCAGCATGGACTGGAATCTAGGTCTTTGAATTTCAAATAAGTCCATTCAATAATGGTGGGGAGTACAGTGAAACAGAGTTCAACTAGAGCAGGGGACAGAGCAAACCTTTGGATCTACCCCTTGCCTGGAATGCTGCAGTGAGATGAGATTACTTTTTGCACCTGTACCACCCAGGAAACACTGCCTGTCAGAACTGAATACCCCTCTGACCTGCAATCCCAGCTGGAAATTCTAGGACAATCTCAACCCTCTCATCTTCCTTCTTCCCCCGCCGTCAACACCTGATGGACCCTCACTCTTGATGCCTCGTTCTGTCTTAGCTGCCAATATCTGGCTCAGCATCTCCTAATCTTAGAAATGGGCATCTCCAAAAAGAGGCCTGAATGGCTCTGTGCTAGATGAGGCTTTGAATTATAGGGAGAAAATATTAGAACTTCTATGGCTTCAAACAATGGGAGAGATATTGCACTTTACTACTATTTGCTGTGTTCATGGATACTGGCTGCTCACCAGTGTGATAGGCAGACTGTCCAAGGTCATGTACAGCTGGGCCAAGCAACATGAACCTGAGGATGGAGCCGGGCTTTACAACAGGGAGGGCTTGGTCTTGCAATCCTTTGCTTTGGGGCCGAGTTAAATGGATTGATGATTTGTTTTCACCAAATTAACCCTAAATTGATGTGTGGCTTAAAAAAGATTTTTACAAAAAGAAACTACTGAAAGAAGATAACATGAATAATGCAAACAGCAAGAAAATGGTAGCACTGACACTTCAGGCATGTCAACCTAATTCAACATCTTCCGGATGAGGAGTTGTCAAACTCCTGTTAAAAATATGAAAGTGATTGATCAACATCAGAGAAGATGGACATTTCCTAACTGAATTTAGACAAAATTTACATAATTGGTAAGATAGAAAAATTATTGTTTTAGCAAGCACAGCCAATGTAGTGCCTTTTCTATTTGGATCTCTGCACTTTAGTGAGGAATCATTTTTTCACTTCTGCAACTGATTAGAACTAAATATTGAAATAATTTGAACTTAAATTTAGTCTTCTAAATATCCTAATGCAGAAGTCTAATATGACATGATAAAATGTAACAACCACATTGCATTTACTACAAATGTTAGTTTTCATAGTAATTTGTTTCTGGGTCTTCAAAAAGTCTACTGAGCCAATGAACAAATGCAATCAATGGCATCTGCACAGCTGGGTAAAGCAGTGTATTATGAGCTCCTTATATTTGCTTCTAATTTCTTTGTATGTTTTTGAGATGGAATCTCGCTCTGTTGTCCAGGCTGGAGTGCAGTGGTGTGATCTCGGCTCACTGTAACCTCCACCTCAGCAATTCTCCTGCCTCAGCCTCCAGAGTAGCTGGGATTACAGGTGTGTGCCACTGTGCCCTGCTAATTTTTGTATTTTTAGTAGAGATGGGCTTTCACCATGTTGGCCAGGCTGGTCTTGAACTCCTGACCTCAGGTGATCCACCCACCTTGGCCTCCCAAAGTTCTGGGATTACAGGTGTGAGCCATCATGCCTGGCCTGCTTATAGTTTTTAATAATAATAAATACATACCTTCCTCTCCTTACACTGCACACATCCCCCCCGCATTGCCCCAGCTCCAAGGCCTAAACCTCTAGATTCTAGATATACTTGAAGGACTAGAGAAAGAGGCAATGGCAGGTGGTAAAAACTCATTTCTCAGCGATGTCTCTGCAGAGGAGACAAACTCTGCAGGTAAGGCAGTGTCTTCCAAGGTGTGGTCTGCCCAGAAGTGCTTCTGTCAGAATCACCAGGGGTGTTTGTTAAAATGCACGTTCCTGAGCCTCTCCCCAGACCTACCAAATCAGAGTATCAAGAAATGACAAGAAATGAGGCCTAGGAATCTGAATTTCAATCAGCTCCCCAGATAATTTTTATTCATTCTAAAATTTGAGGACTATGGCTATAAGGTAAAGCTCTCATTTCATTCACCATTGATTCAGTTAATAAATATTACAGAATGCCTACTCATTCCAGACCAGGCAGTGTGTGCTAAGTGCTGATGGGATACTGCCCCTTCAGTCGCACCTGGCCCTTCCTTTGAAACTTAGAGTTTAGAGGCGACAGCAGATAACTTAAGAATCATATTTAGGCTGGGCACAGTGGCTCACACCTGGAATCCTAGTACTTTAGGAGGCCGAGGCGGGCAGATCACTTGAGGTCAGGAGTTTGAGACCAGCCTGGCCCACGTGGTAAAACCCTATCTCTACTAAAAATATGAAAATAAGCCAGATGTGGTGGCGCGCGCCTGTAATCCCAGTTACTGGCGAGGCTGAGGCATGAGAATAGCTCGAACCTGAGAGATGGAGGCTGCAGTAAGCAGAGATTGCACCACTGCAGTACAGCCTGGGTGACAGAGTGAGACTCTGTCTCAAAAAAAAGAAAAAAGAAAAGAAAAAAAAATAAAGAAAGAAAGAAACATATTTAACTACAAAGTGTGATAAGAGCTCTGAAATACAAAAAGCGGAGCAGGGCTGGCTAGCTTAGATGGAGCGACCTAGGAATATCTCTTTGAGAGGTGACATTTAAGCTGATTTCTGAGGGTGGGAAGGAGTCGGCCATGTGTTGAGGAGGGCAGGGGTGGCAGGGCAGGGCCTGGGGACAGAGCTCTCTCAGGGGT